GTGGGAGGGCAGGGGGGGGGGGGAGTGGGTGAGGGACTGTGGGGGGGCTGAGCGGAGGGGTGGGGGAAAGAGAGGGACAGGAAAAGGGAGGGAAGGTACTGAGGAGCTGGCCCAGGAGGAGGAAGCGGAAGAGAGGAGAAGGAGGAGGAGAGAGGAGGAGGAGGGCTCAGACAGAGGAAACGGATACGAAAAGAAGGAGTGTGTCTTCGAGGGTCCTGGGCACCAGTCTACGTGACAGGATACAAGGAGAAGAGGAAGAGGAGGAGGAGGAGGAGGAGGAGGAGGAGGAGGAGGAGGAGGAGGAGGGAGGGGAAACGAGGCAAGGGCGTCCGTATAGGAACCACTTCCTCCCCCGAGAGGGCGGAAGGAGGAGGGCGGAGGCGGAGGGCGTGGACGCTGCACTGCAGGCCGGCACGAGGAGCCAGCGGTGACGCGGCCAAGCCCTCGGGGATAAAGCCGATCACGCCTGACGGCGGGGGGCGCGCGCGCGGCCGGCAACACGCCGCGCCCGCGCGCGGCAGCACGCCGCGCGCGCCGCGGCCGCGGCGGCGGCGGCAGCGGCGGCGGCTGCGGCTGCGGCTGCGGCTGCGGCTGCTGCTGCTGCTGCTGCTGCTGCTGCTGCTGCTGCTGCTGCTGCTGCTGCTGCTGCTGCTCGCCCCCAGGCCGAGTCGAGGCACCAGGGAGAGCAGAGGAGCAGAAACGGGCCCCCCGTCCAGCCACCAAGTCGAGGCACCAAGCCGAGGCACCAAGTCGAGGCGGCAGTGACGTCGCCTCGACCTCCAGGCGACGTCGCGCTGCCACCGCGGAGCAGAAGGAAAACGGGGCAAACGGGAGCGCCGGGGACGTCCCCGCGACCGCCATCTTGAAGCCATCTTGGGCGTCTTGGAGCGTTCTTGGGCTGTCTTGGAGGCCTCTTGGACCGCTCTTGGAGCTCTCTTGGCGCCCACTGGGGGCGTCTTCAGCCTCCCCGAGCGATCCCAGCGCGCTCCCGGAGCCCAGGGCCCCCATGGCGCGTCGAGGGGCCGCCCTGGGTGCCATTAACCCTGTCTCCCGGTGTGTATATGTGCATGCGCATGCAAATATGCATCAATGGTTATGCGTGTGTGTGTACATATTTGTATGCATGCACATACCTGTGTGTTTGTATAAACACGCATGCATACATGCATATACACATACATGCATACATGCATACCTGCATGCATACATACATGCATGCATGTATACACACCCGCCTATACATACATACGTTCATGCATAGATACATACATACATACATACATACATACATGCATGCATACATACATACATACATACATACATACATACATACATACATACATACATGCATGCATACATACATACATACATACATACATACATCATACATGGACGAAATACATACCAGCAGAGAGAGAGAGACAGACAGACATGCATGCATGCATGATTGCATGCGTACATACACACATACATACATTCATTCACGTACATGCATACATACATACATACATACATACATACATACATGTATACATACATACATACATACGTGCAGGCATGCATGCATGCACACATACATACGTACATACATGCATACATGTTTGCATGCATGCATGCACACATACATACACACATACATACGTACATACTTGCATACATGCATGCATGCATGCATACAGGCATACCTACATGCATGCATGCATGCATGCATGCATACATATACGCATGCATGTGGATGCTTGCATGAGTTCATGCATGCATACATACATACATGTACACGTCAGCACATGTTAAGATATCTACAAATAGATACCCCTACATACATACATGCATGCATGCATGCATACATACATACACACATACACCCATATACATATATGCATGCATACATACATACATACATACATGCATGCATGCATGCATGTATGCATGCATGCATGCATACAGACATACCTACATCCATGCATGCATGCATGCATACCTATATTCACACATGCATAAATACGTACATGCATGTACACCTATTGACACTACGTACGTACGGATGTATGTACATGCATGCATGCATACATGCATACAGGCAGACAGACAGACAGGTCTACATACATACATGCATACACTCATCTATATATAAATATATATATATATATGTATGTACCTAAATATGCATATGTATGCGTATTCATATACATAGTTACAAACATACGTATGTGCATATATCAATCACATCGGTCCGGTCTCCGTGAAATACTTTCCAGGCGTGACTTTCAAAAATGATGATTCGGCGGCGAAATAATCGTAGTCGGGATCAAGGAAGGGTGGGGGTCATCATTGTTTAACAGATCTTGGAAATTGCCCCGGCAGGTTGCTTTCGTGCCATATTCGGCGTTGGTTTCTGACACCACGGGGATCGTTCAACCTGGAACGATCGGCCGTTTCTTGGAGGCCTGGAAATGGGCACCAACACCAACACAGGGGGTTGCCTCCACAGGGGGACGACGATCCTAGAGTTCGGTGTTGGTGGTAATATTTCGGCCACCTTGGAAGCCAGAACATTACCACCATCACCGAGATCGGGATCTTCTTCCCTCGGTGGAGGCACACCGCCGATCTTGGTGTTCGTGTCAGCCTCTAGACTCTAGCCTCGTGTCGTGTTCTGGGGAGTCGACGATTAATTGTGTCTGTGTGTTTTTTTGTCCCTCCTGATAGACCTGCGAGTTTCCGAAACGTCAGATCATTCAACATCGACCCACTCTGAGTCACCGGCCACAGTGAACGCGGAACACCGGCGGCGGGGTCGCCGCCGATCGACGCGACGCGAGGCTGCCGTAGACGTACCCCGCGTGGCCACACGCCCTGCATCGCTGGGGACGCATAGAGACATGATTACTGATACTGTATGTCCTCCTTGGAGGCGCGCGTCCGACCCGAACATATAGTATACCCATACTGTAGTAGATCGTTTCCCGAGCGATGTGTGGCCAGAAAGCGCCCGCCACGTCGCATACACTATAAGATTTCTCGGTGCGCGCGTCGCCACTAGGGGGGCGACGCACACATTGTTTCCGTATGTTGGGGTGACGCCGCTCGCTTGCGCTTTGCCTCGGCTGGTACCCGCCAGGACGCTTCCCCCCGAGACCCCCGAAAGTACCTCCTGGCGCCTCAGGGAAGCGTCCTCGCAGGCACTGGGCCTCCTCCTCCTCCTCCTCCTCCTCTTCCTCCTCCTCCTCCTCGTTCTCCTCGGTTGCCGTGTTTCGTTGGCGACTCAGCCCCGACTAGCTTTGCGCGGACCGCCCCGACTGGGGGGGCCGAAGAGCGCCCTGTGAAGGCCCCAAGGCGGAGACGACGTGGGCGCGAATGAGTGTCCCCTTGAGAGGGGGTCTGCGATGACTTCAGAGCTGCGGACTTCATAACAACAGCGGGTCAGACAAACCAAGTGCCGAAACACAGCACACCGTCGCAAAGCTACGAAAACGCAGAAGAGATACGTTCACAAAGATACTCCAATCATCTTTAGCGGTCCTTACCTCACACGCGCAATGTAACAGCTGAGCGCCTCCATGACGTTCTCACGATGGGCCCTTTTCTGCGGACATCTCGCTTGCACAGGTTTGATCATCCCTGTGTCCCCGCAACTCTCCCCATCTTGTCCACTCATTCCAATGCTGAACGACCACCTCGTGAACCCCAGTTGCACACCCTCCATGCACTAGCAAGCCTGAGGTCCATATCGCATAGAACTGCAGGTCAAAGGTGCGCTTCTGTCCCACAAAATCGATGCTCCCGGTCATGAGCATCTCGACCAGCTCTTCAACTCAGATACACAAGCAAGAATCAGACATGACACATAAACTACACCAACCCGCACGAATATGACACATGATCCTGCCCGTCCGAATGGGCGAAAAACCAGAATACAGACAGTCAAGATGGTCAGCTCTAGTCTGGGTCCAGTCGCCAAGAATATGACGAGGGTCTCACGTCTCATGAGCACAACTTCTTCTGCAGTGTATTATCTGCACATCTGCGACCCCCTCCTCCTCCTCCTCCTCCTCTTCCTCCTCCACTCTCTGCTCATCTCCCGCACCCAATGCACCCATCCTCATGCATTATCATCCCCCTCCCCCCCCCGTGCTGGGAATAGCGGAGGTGCTGATGACAGTGAAGATGAAGGATAGGAAGAGGATCGCCAGCACGGGAGACTGTGGGCTGTGGAGCGAGGGCGCCATGGCGAGATGGAGGGGGCTGGAGGAGAAGCACGTGGAGCATGTGAAAGCCACACAGTGGCATACACCAAAACGAATTAGCCTGGCAGAGGACCCACTCATACGCAGTTGTGAGTAGCGCAGTTGCGAATATCGTCTTCGGTGGAGCTCCTTATGGGGCCACGAAACGTGTGAGGGGGGTGCCGAAATGGGTGGCGGAGACGCAGGTGGGCATCGCCACTGGGGCCTTCTGTGAGGCTCGGGTCGGGCGAAAGGGGGGGATAGCAAAGGGGGGGTTTGAGAATCAGCTCACGTAGCTGATTTTCCCGGCGCCTCCTGGCGCCAGGAGGCGCCCATGTATCGAGGAATGGGTCCGGCGGCGGGGCCGAAACCAGCTGCATGTAGCTGGTTTCGTAACCCCCCCTTTCCCAAACCCCCCCTTTCGCCCGACCCGAGAGGCTATCTATGGGGCCACGGAACATGTGAAGGGTGTGCCACCGACATGGGTGGCGGAGACGCATGTGGGCGCCGCCACTGGGGCCTTCGATGAAGCCCCCAATGGGGCCGCAAAACGTGTGAGGGGTGTGCCGACATGGGTGGCGGGGACACATGTGGGCAACGCAACTGGGGTTTTCCGCGGAGCTCCCTTTGAGGCCACGAAACGTGCGAGGGGTGCGCCGACATGGGTGGCGAGGACGCACGTTGGCACTGCCACTGGGGCCTTCGGTGGAGCTCCCTACGGGGCCACAAAGCGTGCGAGGTGTGCGCCGACATGAATGGCGGGGAAGCATGTGG